AAAAAGAAAGAAAGAAAGAAAGAAAGAAAGAAAGAAAGAAAGAAAGAAAGAAAGAAAGAGACTACTGAATCTCCAGAATCTCCAGCTTCAGATCACTAGGGGTGTCTCTCTGTGGGCTATGCCATCTGTACAGTGGCATGAAGTAGGTGACATTGAAAGAAACTTGTAAACACAGGCAACTCTGAGAAGTACCCGCATGCTTTCCCTGGATGGAATTATGTGCACGTCTGATGCCTTGCTGGCAGTTTGGATCTCCGCGGTAGCCAGTGGAGGTGTGCCTCAGTTACGCAGATGTCCGCGCCACCCAGCAGGGGCAGCAGCAATGAAAACAAGTGGTCCCTTTCGAAGCATTGGGGACATCAAGGAGGTATGGGCTGGGAGACTCTGGCCAGCGTCACATGCAGTGGACAAAGGTGTGGCTTCCTCCAAAACAAGGACACAGTTGAGGGGTGAGGGCCAATGGCTAGAAACCTTGGAAGTGGCATCTGGAGAAAGACATTTTGCATAACATAATCTGTTCGCTCAGATTCTGTGATTTAAAAATATGGAGTGCAAGCTTTGAAAATCTGTATCATCACTATCATAAATTCAAAATAATAAAGACCACTGTGATGGAAAATGGGAATATTTCAAATATTCCAGTCACCAGAATTTGACAAAGCATAGAAGGCTTCCTGAAGATTCAATGCAAAGTCACCGTCTAATTAGGCAAGTAACAAATGGGTATTACAGAATGTAGGTCCACCAATTTTCACAAAGAGAAAACAAGATGCAAAGCGGACACTTCACTACCAAATGTCAGTGGTGGTGGCTTCTACAGCCAGCATCCAGGGCAGTGTACCCGGAGACCCCCGGCTACAGAATCAGATTCCAGTTATCTGCTCAAAGGAAACAAGGCCGCCAGGTTGAAGAGAGTGGGAAGCTATCCCCATTGTACAGAGGAGTGTAAATGGCTACAAGAATAGTACTGAAAAGGTCACACACTCAAGTGACAATTCTACAGCGGTGAGGTGACATAAGGATTGCTGCAAACTACTGACCCCTTCCTTGACAGCAGACTTATCTCGCTAGCTGGAGGGTAAATCAGGGGATTAAAGAGGAAGCAACTCTTTTAGAGCAGGCTGAGGACAGACACCCAGCAATCTGAAGCTGGAGAATTTACTCCCCACGTATGCTCCACTTCCCACCACTACCTGGTCCACCGATGGCATTAGTTCTGAAGAGTCCAGTGGGCAGCCATCGTTTGGCAAACGTGTTCCTGTTGTCTCCTAATACTTCAACGTAGGAGGAAGAGAAGAGGCTCACAAGCATGCTTTGGTGTGAAACGATAGTTTTGGTTCTCTTTTGAGGAGGGCCAGTTCTACGAGTAGATTTCCCGAGTCCAAGAAAAAGCACGGCGATTCTAAAAGGCCCTCTCTTCTCCCTGCCTCCATTACCAGTCACATGACTCACCTTGGAAAGTTATTCCTTCTGATGAACCACTCTCTATTTTCAAAATAGGTATTATCTTTTTCATTTTTAATGCAAAGATGCCAGAATAGGACAACACATTAAAGTTTTGCTTGTCCTTCACAACAAATCAAATGGATTACCCAAATGACTTTCCCCTTAGAAGAATTTATTGAGAACAGAACACAAAAATAGAATCCTTTTCAAGTGGTAAGAGTCTTTTGGAGGATATGACCTGCTATAAGTCCCTGGGACCCTCAGGCCTGTGTCCGCCTGGGTTCAAGTGGATCTGGAGATCACATTCAGGTAAGCCTCTAGGTCAAGACCAGAGGAGCAAGAGGTTCTCAGGAGCCCAGAACCTCTGGTTTTTACTCTGCTTGGTATAGGAGAGGAGTAAAGAGGAATGAAAAAGACAAAAAATCGCCCTGGAGAGGCATCACTAACGAATGATGTCCTCCACGTTTACTCACGTATCCAGGAATCACTGAGCAATGACTAAGTGCCAGGCTTTGTGCTAGGTGCCAGAGATAGTGGATGAAAGGAATAGTAAAACAAACGTACAAAAGAAACAAACGCGTGCCGATAAATAAGAGGTACGCTGTAATCTGTTATGATGCCTACAAACTGACGTGGCAACAGGCTTGGACACAGTACAATTTAAGACAGCCTGCTAAAGGGGAAGGCAGCTTATCCATCTGTGAGATATAAAAGGGCAGGAGAGCCTACAAGTAGTTTTCAGACAAATAGAAGACAAGACTTGGCTGTTTCCAAGTGAGTCCCACTGAATGAATTGCTTAACACCTGTTAAAAATGGCGTGCTCTCTAGAAAGCCTTCAAATCTCTGGCCGCCCAGCCACTCATTCAAAATGTCTGAGCATAGCTAGCACCAAGGGTGGGCTTTCATTGCAGGAACTGTGGGCAGAGAACATAGAGTATCAGTAGTTTGGTGTAGAATCATCTCTCTCGGGTCTTTCAATCAATTTGCTAAGATTGCCTGAAGTTTCTATAGTTGTTAGGCGGTTAGTAAAAGAATTGTTGTCTTAAAACAATGGGCTGTTGGGGCACTGGACTCCCACATGACTGACCATGGTTTGAATCCCAGATCTGGTGGTTTGCTTTCTCACTGTCCCTCTCACTCTCTGGTCAAATTAAAACAATAATCAAACAAATAAATAATAAATAAATAATTCTTTAGAAAAGCAAGCAAAAAAAACTCAAGAGGTTATTGATTCTTCTGGGTACTTTGTAATAAAGCTGTCTGTTTACATAGATTCTGAAATTCTATTTTTTTTTTTTTTTTTTTTTTTTTTTTACAGAGAGATTTTTGCTATGGGGAGCCTGCGCTTGCTGGAGAGACAGAGAGACAGAAAGCAAGAACTCACCCCCCCCAGGGGGAATGGCTGTACTGCAATCCCTTCTCCTCCATTCTCCTCTTGGATTTTAGGCATGCACGCACACATGCATGGCATGAGTTTTAAGTGACTGGGTCTGGGACTCGAACTGCGGTCAACTACAAGGAGGTCCAGCGACATAACCTTATGCCATCTGCTGGTCCTGATTCTAAAATTCTTAAAACGATGTTCACATATTACCTCATTTAAACCTTACAATAAAGTCTATTAAATAACCCCCCAAAGGAGAGAGATGGTGGAGAAGGACTGCAGTGTGACCATGTCCCATGGGGTTGGGCAGGGTGGGGGGTACTTTCTTGTTTTCTCTTACTCTCATTTCTGGTAAGTACACAAGCCCCCTGGCAAATTAAGACAAACAAATGAACAAAAAACTGAAAAAGAAAAAGCCTACTCCATTAAAAAATGTATATAATAGGCAAAGAAGCTAAAAGTTAAGAAACTTATATCTTAACTAGTTAATAGAAGCAGTATCAAACCATAAATACATTTTTTCCTAAAGAATAAAATTGCCTCTCTCACATTATATTTTAAGTGTCCCCCAAAGTTCTATAAAGCTAATCTGGGACAACCTGATTATATTTACAAGGGTTATTAGAGCTATATATTTAAAGGGATATTTTTCATTGAATGAACAAGAATCAGCAATAGACAATTATTAGTCATCTACTATTAGTAAGTGCAGGAATGAAGGATCACAGCATTTTGTTCCTGCTTTTAAGGATCTTAAGATCTAGCTGGAAAGACTGGACAATCATTTAAACAAATGCTGTGTCAATGTAAACATACCTTCTATTTTTGGAGGTGGCAAAAGTTGAGTTTGAGGAAGGGACAGTACTGGAATTGGTGAAGAATGAGGAGGTGGGATGGTTTGTGAATGTTACAAACAATCTGTTAAGAAGATAGGGTGGATAAAAGTTAATATCCATGGACCAGCAGATGACATAATGGTTACACCACTGGACTCCCACGAAGTCAACCACAGTTCAAGTCCCAGAGCCAGACCTGGTGGCTTAAACCTCATGCTGGTTGTATGTGTATGTGTGTGTCCAATATCCCAAGAGGAGAATGGAGGAGAAGGGATTGTGGCTTGGCCATTCCCGCCCCTGGGGGGGGGGGTGATTTCTTGCTTTCTGTCTCTCTGTCTCTCTGTGTCTCTCCAGTGACTGCATGCACCCTATAGCAAAAATCTCTCTCTCTAAAAAAAAGATAATTATCCAATATTGTGAAGGACTAGTTGCTAGGAATGATGACTAATTTGTTGGGGAAAGGAAGAAGAGTTAATTAGGGGTGAAAATATTTCAAAGCTGGGTGACTGAGTGATAAGTATTACTGGAAAAAAACAGAAATCTGGGGGTGAAATGGTTTGGGGAGAGGTGACACTTGTTTGTTAAACCCCTAGATTCTCAGGATGACATCAAAGTAGGGCATTTTGACACAGCCTGGGGCAGAGATCAGATAAGGATTGTGGATGAGATGAGGCTGACAATTATATGCAACATTTACATTTTTTTTTTTTTAGTGTTTTTTGCTATAGGGTACATGCTTTTACCAGAGAGACAGAAAGTGAGAATCACCCCTCTCTCCCAGGAGGGATGGCCATGCCACAATCCCTTCTCAGTTCACTTCCCAGGATCCTGGATATGCACGTACACGTGCCTGGCATGATTTCGAAGCCACCAGGTCCAGGACTCAAACCATGGTCACCCACGTGGGTGTTCAGTGATGAAACCCTATGCCATGTGCTGGTCC